CTGGTGCTGCTGCTGGTTCTGCTGTTGTTGCTGGTGTGTTTGGACAGTGTGGACTGGTACCGATAGTAAAAGCAGGTGTAGTGACAAAGCCGCAAATGGAGGTGATGATTTTTGGACATTTGACTGTATTTTACACAGAGACACTGCTGCAGTCGTTAAGGATCCCATTATGGAAGTTGTTTTGTTCATTTCAACTTAAACATGGTCAGTTTGATGCTTTCTCTGTGATAACATAACCATGGACCTTACCACACTGAAGATGGTTAATGTGATAATAACATAACCATGGACCTTACCACACTGAAGATGGTTAATGTGATAATAACATAACCATGGACCTTACCACACTGAAGATGGTTAAGCTGAGGTGCTGTGTTAAAGTGCTTTTATCTATCTACCTACTTTACCATTGAGAGCAAGTTTTCTCTGTAATGAGCCTTAAAACAGAGCTAACATACAAATATGAATTTACATATTGTGAAATACCATTTTCAATGTAATATTGTAAATACATTACATTATTTGCACTATAAAAAACTCACTGTTACGTTTAAGTTTGTAACAGAATTAAAGGACAGTGTTTTAAAGGAAGTTTTAAATAAATGTGTTTATGTGCACAAAAAGTTGGACTTTGTACCGTTTGGGGTATTTTTGTAGAGCATCTTCTTGTCCAGCCCATTTGAGATCCAATCAGGTTGAATGTGGCCCCCGGACCAAAATGAGTTTGACACCCCTGGCCTAGAATGAGTCTGGTGTGTGTGTGTGAATGGTTGGTGGTGGTGGGAGGGGCCGATGTCACAGACTGGTTGCCTCGCTTCTGTCAGTTTGCCCCAGGGCAGCTGTGGCTACAGTAGTTTATCACCACTGTTAGGGGTGGGCGATATGGCCTAAAATTCATATTGCGGTATAATTTGGGACACAGACGGTAGACGGTATATATTGCGGTATAATTTGTTGTGTGAATTTCAATATAGGTCTAGCAGGTTCTTGCATAAAATAGTCAAGATTGTTAATTATTTATATATTAGAATCTAATATATATATTTTTTGAGTTAGTAAATCAGTTGTGAGACGAATAAAGAGACAAATAACATACATTATTTATGTATGTTACAGTAAATACCATTCACTGTAAAAGCAATTTTTAAAAAGAAAAACATATGCATTCATTTAAAATATAAAAAACTCACAAATGTTGAAATCAAAGTCTGTAGGAGTTAGACATGGTCATTATTTAAAGTGTCTGAGAGTTTTGTGCGTGTACATGGCTTCAGTAAAAGCTATTGCGTTTACAAAGCTGGTCTTGCCATTTGTTGACGCTCCCTAAGCGCTTTTCTCTGCGCTTGCAGTGAACTGGATGATTCAATGGATTTATGTTCATTAAAACAGCGCATTGGATTTGAACAATTGATGTAAATGATCATTTTGGCACAAATAATTTTGTTTAACAAAGTAGCTTTCGTGAGATATTGACCGCGGAGGTCCGAATCTGACGCTAACTTTCCCAAACTTCTGCTGTAATGCTGCGGACACGGCACATGGATCTATTTTGGCTCACGCTGGCGCTTCGAGCCTACGCCCCTTTGACACTGATTGGACAAAAGGTAGACGCTTAAACTGTGATTACTGTGTGTGTATTTACCTCTGCTGGGGCCGCTGTGACAACAATACATAGACAGAAACACTGTGTTAATGCCGTGCTGTTATTCGTTGTTTCCAGTGGTGTCCAATAGTGCTAGGCTAATGCTAGGTTAATAGTGCTAGGCTAATGCTGCTAGGCTAATAGTGCTTGGCTAATGCTGCTAGGCTAATAGTGCTAGGCTAATGCTGCTGAATGCCGGTTTGTTTTGGTCCTTTCTGCTGGCGTCAGAGCCTGCGCAATTTAATGACATAATGACCTTTTGCAATATGCCGGTATAACAAAAATCTCTACCGTGGGCCAAATTTATATTGCATACCACTTATACCGTTTATATCGCCCAGCCCTAACCACTGTGTATTGGGTGAATGAATAATGTAAAGAGACTGTGTCCAAAAAGGCGCTGTATAAAACCGATGCATTATTATTATTATTATTATTATTGGATTGAGTAATGTTTGTGTCTTGATGGTAAAAAGATCAATGTTTTTGTATCTGTTTTTTACTAAACCTAAAACAACACAGTTAGGCTATATCCACACGAAGACAAAACGCTTATAATTTCAGAAACTTTTTCTGTAAACACGGAGTTAGCTCAGTAAATGTGTGCGTCCATATGAATGTAGTCAATACGCCTGAAAACGCTGTGAAACTATGCCAGACCTGTTGGTGGCGCTGTGACGCAATGACGGGATCAAGCCCAAACTTCCGTGGGCATGCGCGGAATTTTGTAAACAGACAACATGGCGAGTGGGCGAGCTGGTACTACATTAGTATGGACGGACGATGAGGTTGAACTGTTGCTTCGGGTCGCACTGGATTACAAAACAACAAGCTACATTGTTGTTGTCATTATTTTCT